CCACAGATGTGACAGCAGCTGTGTTTCCATCTGAGCATTTTTATACCGGGATGCATCAAATTAGAAGGGTTGAGCGGAAGGAGCACATCATAACTAATTCATGCAGTGTCTTTGCTTGCTTATAGTGAAACAACTGGAGATGGAAACACATTTATTCATCGATGACATTAACATTTGAGCAGTGTGAAATATATGTCCATAATGTACTTTCAGAGATTATACAGCAGGTCCTGTCAGTACAGTGAAGTGAGACACGTAGCTGTGCCTCAACATGTCAATAACAGCAATTATATCACATGTTCTCCCCAGGTGTGACACCACACCACAGGACACAGCCGTGTGTTTTGCATCTAAGTCTTTATCATAGGTGTGTACGGTTGGTGCATCAATGTTTTGTCAAGTGAAACCTCTGTGAAGTCCTTAGTTCAGTAGAAAATATGAAAGGAGATGTATATGGATTTACTGCTCAGTCAGCAGAACGCCACCATCGTCTACACTTTTCTCTCTTTTGACCACGAAAGCCATCTTGAAACCAGTCACAGTGATCTCAATTAAGCATTTTATCTGCTTCTCTAAATTGTGCCTGATATCAAACATCCTTTATGGAGACACTTCTGTACAGTGAGGCTCTAATTAGTTGTGCTGGCTGTTATCTGTGTACAGTAGAGCAGCCTCAATCCAGCGCCGCTCAGCGGGTGGTGAGATCTCTATCTGTCCCCTTCATTCACAGGCTTAATTCAATTGGAGGGCAATTATCGACCGCCCTGGGACTTCAGGATCTGAGCTGGTTTCTGTTCCCATCAGGGAACCTCATTGCAGGCTCCCTCTCGACTGCACTGGGTGATGTCTATATCACTGGGCTGTGCGTGTAGACCACCAGAGCAGGCCCCAGCGCACAGACAAGGAGGCTCTCAGTCTCAGCCAAGATGCAAAAGAACATGAAGCCAAATATGTTGACAGATTCTTAATGTTTAGACAGTTCATCAGCATGTGGCTCTCACTTTAGGCTTTCATACAAAGGGCCACACACTTTGTCCTTTTTAAATTCAACATAGAGTTCACACACTGACATATTTTGAGCTTGTGGGGCCACAGCTGTGTGAGCTGGTGTCGTCCTTCCTCCACAGCTAATGTTACATTTTTGTGACCCCGAGTTAAGACAGAGTACAGTCATCAAGTATCTGGTTATCCTGCAAGACCCATGATGCCCATGCGCACCTCACGGTTACACAGCTTCATCAAACGATTTACCTTGTTTCACTTAATAGGAAGGGTAATTAGTTACATTACTTCTGTTACTCTGTACATCTCCAAGTTTTAAAGTATTTCCTGACCAGCAAACAACACACTCAAATTTGATTTCTGAAAGCCGTCTTGCTTGTTACAACATTAAAAAAAAGATGTGCCTACAACAACTTTACATAGGCATACAACTGGAGTTCACCTCCCCACACCTGCTCCAAGCCAATGCACTGGCCTGAACTCCTGGTAAGACAGGAAACAAGCTGACCCCCAAATGTCAAAGTAAAGGATCATTAAAGCCTTGAAATATTCATTCATTGTATTTCAGTCTGTGTTTCAGACAATCTGGTCTTGACTGACGAAATTAAAGTTGCATGTGTGACTGGAAATAAATAATTTTGTGTGGAAACATTAGTCTGCATGGTTTTAGATTGTCACTTTGATCATAACTAATCAAACATGGCTTTCCCACAGCGACATACAATCACCAGTCACCTGTTGATTGCAAAATTCAAACATCACAGTATCTTTGAAGCAAAGCTACAACTTAGTGACTGATACCAAACTGTTAATTCTTTCTTTAAAGGAAAGAAAGAAAAAAGATTACAACCATAAGTAACCGGATAAATTCAGTGACAAACAGGGATGAGAGAGAAATGAAAGCAGTACTGAGAGCTAAACTCAGTGCTCTTTGGTTTTGGAATAGGGCATCATGCCAGCACCAGGCTGAAACAGACAATGGACTAATGTTCTATTTATTTAGTAAAGGAGCCTCTTAAGCACTCTCTGTTCATTAATGTACCCCATCAGCTCTCACCCTTTGTGTTGTATGCAGCAGGCAGAGCACACTGGTGAGCTTTCTTTTGCATGAATTATATAGCCTAGTTCCTGGAACACAGCTGCTACAAAGAGCTCATATAACAGCCAGTTTTACTAAACACATTCAGTAATGAGTACATTTATATGCACTCCAACAACGATAATATAATATAAAAATTGCAGGTAAAGAAAAGACCTTTTCAACACTGCTGTAATGTCCTGCTTTGTTGCTGTCACATTATAGCCACAGCCCTCTCTCCACAATCCTAACAGAGAAGAAGCAAAACAATGTCCTAACTGAAAAGCCCATTCAGGGCAAACAAGGATTTCAGCAGTCACACAATGATAACATTTCTTTCTATCGCTGTTATTTTTATCTTAAGGTTGCATATACAGTATGTTGTATTGTAGAGATGTGTTCTCACACCTCAGATGGGAACTGCACCTGATTGAGTATTGCTACTGTATTAGCAAAGAGATACAGTATGAAAGTATCTGTCATTGATTTCAATCATTGCACTTTCATAAATTCACTGCCTTCCATTAGTAACAGGACTGTGTCAGGTTTGTACCCCAGCACTCTAGATTTGAAATTAAACTGTAGTAATGGTGTTTAACTGCTGACCTTTAGCTTCAGTTTGAAATATTTTACATTCACATCCGACTGACAGAAAAGTATGAAGTGTACTTAACAAATTAATATCAACTTTTAAAACATTAGAAAACTACAAACTTAGTTTCATCACAGAGTTTTATGTCATTTGTGCTACATGTGAAACAAACAGTGCTGCCGTTAAGGTCTGAAGAAGTGAAATATAATATTAGTGTAAATATAAAACTAATCTTGATTTGATCACAAGATGAGATATGTGAGGATCTGTGATTCCAGTCAGCAGGCGCAATGGTTAGTCAGTTACATTATTCACAGACTTGGCAGCAATTAAATGAAAAAGGGAAGAGTTTATGTAATCGACGGTGTGCAAGGTTCTTTGTAGTCAGGAGTTTTTGATCCTTTCTGTCTAATTACCTGCTTTATTTCAACAACAGAATAGTAAAGGTGACTGAATCAGTCAGTCAGTGAAGGACTGGGCACATTTTATCCAATACAGTTTGTATCAAGCTGAAGTGACTTTAACATCAGCTGGAGTGATTTTATTTTATTGTCAGCAAGTCCACACTGATTGCATCAGTGTTAGGTAGTTAAGTCAGCATTCAGGTGTTTTACCCTAATGGCAGAGACAGACCCAGCCGACATCAAAGAACTTGCTTCAACGAAGGCCGCCTGTTGCATTGCCTCACTCTGCCTTCATCTGGGCCTTAATGTTGCACTTGAACACACCTCAAAGTCTACAATCAACATTCTGCAGTTGCATAAGAGGAGATAACTCCCCATACCAGCAGGTGGCGGTGTCTGTATTCATTATTCAAAGGGAAGGAGGAAGACCTGGGACTGCAAACTGTAAACAAAGCAGCTCTCACTCACCGCATATGGTTTCTAGCTGCTTCTAATGGAGAATATGTCTGATAAGAAGTTGCAAATGGTGCTGGCGTTCTCTGCCTTTGGTCTTTTGGTTGTGGAGGAGGAAAGGAGGCCGTGGAGGTGAAAAACAAGGAGAAACTGCACTAAATGGGTGAAATCATCGACACTACAGTGGCAGGCGCAAGCAGCTTTCCCAAACCATTCTCTTCTTGTGCACTGATTTGCTAAGATGAACCGCCAATCAGAATGGTCTCTCTCACAGCGTCTGCCATCCAATCAACATTTGTTATCAGCTGAAAAGACACTGACAGGGTCCAACTAGTGCCAGCGGTGCAAGAGAGCTGAAAGTGGCAGACGGTTGACCGTCTGCTTAATGTGTTGCGGACCTAAAACCTCATTGTTGTCCTGTCTGTATGTTTGGATCCGAGTCTTACCGCATTGGCCTAGAGCCCAGTATGGATGAGACCACTATCAAACCCTCTTGTTTCACTTTGGATCTAAGGTTCTAGAATGGAGCCAAAACAATAAAATGGATGTGCCACGAGACCGCACTTTATGCAGATACTCACTATAAAAGTTTATTTGCCGTTCAACAGCACTTAGCAAGTTTCTAGATTCACAAGGGTCTTCCTTTGGGCCTCAGCCATTTTTACACCTAAAATATGCAACAGATGACTCTTGGACTAACGTATCCAGGAAAGAGCAACAGAAGCTGGGGATGTTGTTCCCATCCCACTCCACATGCAGTGGCTTCCCTTCTTTCAGACGTCAGCTCTCGCCAAAATGTTCTCTTCTTGTCTCTTTTTACTTTTCTCTCAATCAGCTTAGCTGATAAACTTTCTTTCGAGATTCGACATCTCTCCTGCTCCTCGCTTTCACACACACTTACACAATACACACAGCAGCACAAGCACACACCATACTGATACTGTATTTTCACAGCATTTTGTCCCAGGACTCTGAAGCTCAACTCCTGTGATACGATAATTGTATATATACATGAAAGCAACTGATTGCTGTCACCCAAATAAAGAGGTGGTTCATGCATAGCGGTTACAGTCCCAAGTGCTCCCAAACATGAGAGTTTTAGCCACATTATAAATGTAACCAAATTAGTAATGACTGACAATAACACACACACCTGGACAAAAATGGAAGAAGCCGAATTGAAGCACAAACACTCTGCATTTTAAATAACCAACTGTAAATAAGAGCTAATAATGAGATAACCATCACAGTGCTGTCTGCTCTCTGTGCGGGATGGAAAACCACCAAACACCAGCTCGGCATTGACGAAAAGCGCTGAAAACATAACAAAACTCATAGGGCCTTCTTCTGTGAAAGAGCGAGACTTCACAAACCTTTACTGTACTGAGAAAACAAAAACTCCTGTTAACAGATGGATCTTTAAAGCATCAGTGCTCTTTTCAAATGGAAATACATCCAGAAACAGCAAAGACAAGGTAAAGAGATGAAGAAAGTGTCTTACTTTGAGTATTCTTCATTATCTCTGTCACAGCGAGAGTCTTTGTGTTTCTCCCAGTCTTTGCCATGTTTACACGTGGTCAGCAGAATAATATCTTCTCCATTATGGATGTGATACAGAGCATTCCTTGTCTCCGAACCAATGCCAGTTAAATACCGCTTCCCTTTGAAAACCAGCAGGTACTTCCTGGATGGCGGAGTGTCATTCAGAGTCAGATAACCTATGCCCCCTCCTTTCAGTGGGTGTTCCTTGGAGAATAGAGGGATGGAGATATCAAAGTTTGGTCGGAAGTTGACCACATCTGCACTGGCCTTGGCCAGCATGGCCTGGCCCACCTCAAAGCCCAGATCCTCTGTGTAGTCTGGCCAGGTGCCAGAGTAGAGGTTGAATATGAGGTGGTTCCTGCCATCACTCCACGTCGGCAGGCCCTGGATGCGGGACCTGACGTTCTGGACATACTGAGACGAGAGCTGGTCCCTGTCCAGCGTGTCCACAGCTAAAATGAACAGACAGGCCCTTGAAGGGTCTGTGGTATGGAAGCGAGACTCCTTGATGGAGGACAGGATCTTCTGGTAGGTCTGCGAGACCTCGTCCCCTCTCTGGGGAGGGTAGATGAACACCCTGAAGCCCGACTGGCAGCGAGCAAAGTCAAAACAGGTTTCCATGCGGCAGCGCTTATTCTTGTAGATGTTATCACGAATTGCCCGCCGCTCTCGAGGGGAAGTGTGCTGGTGATGAAGCTGAGGGCTGTCCTCCTGTATACACAGAAACATGGTACTGTAGTGCAACCCAATATATAATAAAATGACTTAACACCTGGTAAAATTATTATTATTTGTATAATGCACAAAAACAGTAAAACCAAAATATCAGTGAATGACACCTCTGCCTTTTTCTAACACATTCTGTCAATAGGAGAAATCTCTGAGCCATCTGTAGTTTCACAATGCTTCTCTATCAGTACCTACACCTACATAGGGTTAAAATGCTCAGTTGTAGGTCTGAGCTACAGCAGAGCTGATCTGATCTAGATGGACAAACAGTGATTGTCTTTGATTCCTCTCAAGCAGCAGCTCTCAACCATTTTGGTTTGTGACTGTTGGAAGTAAAGCAACTCTCATATCTTCGTCACTGGACTTTTACTTTTGTGAACAGCCATGATCTGACTCCCTGCAAACCTTTGCTGCATGTCATACCCCACAT